TTTCCTCGAAATTTGGCAGATCCGGACCTTCCAGACCGGACGTCTGGAGTCCGGACTGAATCCAGACCGTCTGGACGGCGGTCCGGACGTCCGGATCGTAGCCATGGTATTTACTATTAAGTTATTAACATGGTCATTGACGGAAAAAAAAAAAAAAAAAAAAAAAATTGGCCCAAATCGGTGTTTAAAATCAACTCAATTTCATCACGCGAAAAAAAAAAAAAAAAAAACAAATTTAAAACTATTTAACGAAATCATCAAAATCTTAGTTCTGTGCAGATCTTATGCGCTGTACTGTGCTATGTTTGCTTGCCTTTGGGCCTCGCTCCACTAATCTCCACATGCACAGACGACAAAAAATATTGCAATTTGCAATGTATCATTCCGTGTTCTAGCGGAGGTTTCAGTCTCATTTTGCTCGTTTGGAGATTAGTGGAGCGAGGCCCCCTTTTCCTCCCTCAGGGTGGTACAAGCCCCTGATGATAGAGGTTGGCAAGCTTCAATGGCTTCATGCTATTTGTGGGGAGCTTCCATATGCTGGAAAATATGGGTCCTCGTCGTCCTTTAGTCCTTTTGCTGGCTTACTATGAACATTTTTCTGAGGCCTATTGCTTCTTCTGTTCTCTTTCTGCATGATGTTTGAAACTCGTAATCAATTCGAAATGCAATGCGATGCAATGCAACCAATCATGCACAGGACAATCTGGAGCGATTTGAGTTTGGATGTTTCACGGGAGAAAAGCCAATGTCAGGATTTTATGCGGTGCTATATGCGCTATCTGCTTGCGATCAGGTAGGTGGGCTCCAATGCCTTAAAAAAAAGGAAAAGAAAAAAGAAAAGAAGGTGTGCTCCAATGCTGTCCTTTGGAGCGATACGGAGAAGCTTAATTAGCATAGCCCCTGCGCAAGGATGACATGCATAAATCGAGAATTGGTCCAGAAAAAGAAAAAGAAAAGAAAAGGGTGTGCTCCAGTGCCTTTTTGGCCAGCCCTCCTGCCATAATTCATTGTCGATTTTTTTTTTTTTTTTTTTTTTTTTTAATTCCGTGTAGACTCTGTACTGAATCT